GAACCACCAGAGAGGAGAGAAGGGGAAAGCTGACAACTGTGAGTTGGAAATGACCCAACAGCACGGAACGGTAATCGTGCAACTTGTATCCACCTGTCTAGTGGGCAAATCTGCTGCAAAAAGTCTCTTGAACGTGTTCAAAAACAAAGATGTCCCTTTGCGGACAGAGGCCCACATGACGCAGCCATGGTATCTGCAGTGGCCTCGCACGCATGTGAACCTGGACAAGGAAGAAGGGAGACTGAAGAAGAGTCGATGTGACTTGATGCCGGTGCTGCCAAAGACTGAAAACACCCAGGGCTGTAGGACCAACCCTTCTGTTTTAGAAGAAGTATCGAGATAATGCTCCTTTGGTGAAAGGAAGGGAAGATGGTGAAAACTTTGCCCCATGCACTTCGGGCATGTTATCAGGAGCGAGAGGTCCCGGGAGAAGGACAAACAAGCGTGGCAGAGGGCCAGTAAACAGAGGAAGACCTTGAAGGATTTGATGGACTGACCCCGTGGTTGCCACCATGGTTTCAAGCACAGCAACCATTGTGAGGATGCGCAGGACCAGACCGTGTTTCGTTCTGTTATACACTGGGTCAGCTGGGCATCAGAATGGACTCGGTGGCACCTATCGTATCAACAGCAGTCGTTAGCTTCTGTTTGAGTCCCAACCCAGGAATTACTTGACCTACGTTGCTTTCACGAAGACATAAAAAATCAATCATTTGGAGACTCTTAGAAAATAATATTTTTATTATATCTTCCCCAAGAGTAGCAGCTAACACTAGTTTTAAGAGAGGTGGAAATGGCTCGAGCTAATCTAGTGACTACTATTTCTTTGTATGATAGCAGGAAAGCCATGCAGGAGCAAAAACACTAGGCTGAAAATCATTTGTGTAACAGATTGCCAACAGGAGGCTGAGATGATTGAGGGAAACTAGATACTCAACAGCCCGAGGACAGCACCAACCAGATTTTTTTAAAACACACACTTTGCGCGTTTTTATGTTCGCTGTGTAAGAAAGAGCAAAC